CGCACAGGTTTGCTGGAGAGGGTGGTGGTTCTGCATCCCGACAGCCATCCAAATGTGGCTGGCTGTGGCCCTGAGCAGCCTGAGCTAGCTTTGGATTTAGCCCAGTCTTTACTGGCCTATAATGAAACACAGGTTTTCTTCTTACAATTGTTATAAATGACATGCAACATTTTTCAATGTCGCGTGTCTCTTTGTGAACATAAACCACCGTTCCTACTGCAATCTATTTATTAGTGGGTTTTGTTTGGGTTTACCACTAAACAGCCTTTGGCATTTAATAGCAAAGGAATGTTGTATCACATGCGCTTCCAAATGTTGGAAATACGGTGGCATACGTGCTTTTAGTGCATTTTTTAAGAATTACTATTAGCTTTTAAAAGGCAGTGTTTTGGAATTGCAAGGAATGATGCACAAAATCTCATCAATCTTTTCTATTAATTTCATGCACAATGTATAAATCGTTCGGAAGTGATGCTGTTATTTTGTAATTGTACTGCTTGGCTCTTACTCGTGTAAACAGAGAACTACGTTTGTCCAAAACAGTTACTTTGAGCTTTGGGCAATTAACATACGGCTTGTCAAATAGGTGTTCAGAAATCTTTAGCATATTGTCTCTAATGCAGTTTGATGTGCACTTCATACTGGGTGAAAAATGAAATTGGCAGTGTATTTGGTCAATCTCCCCAGCATGCAGATCTCCGCTTGCTGCTGATAGACGTGTCTGTGGAGGGGGCCGCAAGCAGCACATGCAATGTTGCTGTAACAAAGTTAGAGAAGTCTCTGTGATGCTTTGCTCTTAAATTGATGCTCTGGAGCAAGGGAAGCAGGCTAAGCTGGGAACTTGCGAAGTACTTGGCGGCCTGCCCGTTGTAAGTCAGGCAGTATTTTAGAAACTGGTTGAAACAAGGAGGTTTTACATAGCTGTTTTCTACTTGCAGCTGTTTAATGCTCAAAATTGCTCTATGTTTAGCTGTGTAGATTAGGGTTCAAAACCAAATCGTTCTAAAATTTAACATGGAAAGGAAATGGGTTACGAAATGGAGCTCAGGAAATGGGAACGCTGTCAGTTCACTGCATCTGTTGGTCAGTCACCCAGGTGAGGCCTCGGAACACGTTTTGGTTCCTAGCACGCGGCAGTTGCATATGCAGACATTGTTACTGAAAAGCTCCAAGGAAGACGAGCTAGCAGCATTTACAGTTCGTGTGTTGGTTAATTTGCCTGCTTTTATTTCTTTTCCTCCAGATTGTGCAATTCATAAACTAGTAAGCTCTCCATCATGGTCTGGCCTGGTATAGCCGTCTCTTGCAAAGTGCATCGGCAAATATATCAGAGTGCAAGGTCAGTCACGCTGGCAAAGGGGGCTGGCGGGCTGGCACTAGGGGGTCTGCCTGCACGCACAGCAGAGGTACCTGTCCTCCTCCTCGGGCTTTGGAGGAACTTCGGTTTTCATTGTCAAGTGCAGACCTTAACAGCACAAAGCACATTTCTACCTTTCTATATCTGTTGTTTAATGAAGAGGACTTGTGAGCAGATTCTGCTTTGGCAGAACACGAACAGAGTCAAGACAGAGATGGATGCATTGGATCTTTTCAATCTACTTCTGTTCATCGTGTCTTGGTATTCTGTATTTGGTCTTACAGCTCCTGTGTAGGCTTGGAGCTTTGAAAAAGGCCGTGTAATAATTTTATCATCATTTTATCCTGTTATCTAAAAAAGACAGAGAAACTGTGGCAAAGGGCATGGACTTAACCATGAATTAATTTATTACGCTACAGTTATGTTTGAAGTATGTTCGCTGCAGTAACAGACTGGTACTGAGGTTGTGCTTTTACACAGCTCATCAGGAAGCCGTGGGTTAAGAAGCTGTGCTCACTGTGCATAGTGTTGTGCAAAATTCAACAGTATGAGCCTTTTGGCACTGCAGACAGTTTACTTGTGCATTTTGCCCGTGTTTTTGGTGTGTGCATCAGTCTTACTAACATCAGTTTGGAGCTGGTCTGAAAGAACTCTGCCTGATCTGTGCACCTTACATTGGCCGTAGGGCCTCTTCCAAAGCAGTGTCTGGACTGATGCTTGTTGAGGCATTTGCAGGCATTCAGGATTATGCAGAAGCACAGGTAGCCTTGAGGAGGAGAAAAGGTCACAAGCTTACTCTACAAAACAAGAAAAAAAATTTTTTTGCTTGTTAAAATAATTACCTTCATATTTCTTTATTAATGGATGTAATATCTTCTGTGTTGAACAGCAAATTAATCTTTTGTCTGTCACGAAACACTGTTAATATATGTAATGGAAGAAAATTTCTGAAACGGAGAAGGAATGAAGGTTGTTTTCTTGTGTGTTATGAAGTGAGTGTCTGTGAGACCTTGAGAAGGGTTGAAGAAGTCCCATGTTTTGTCCTGTGACATCTATGAAGCAGGCTCCTGCAGGTCAGGCATCGTACAGAGCACTGGGACGTGGCCGTGCACAGAGGATTCTGTGATCTGCGTCCGTGTAGAAGAGGCAGCCTACAGACCTCCTTGTCAGCATGGATGGAACACCGCACAAACTGCCTGAAGGCAGAGTGTGACAGAATATCACAAGCAAGTAAACGTTGTGCGCTGGGGGGAAGCAGGGAAGGGAA